GGCCAACATTGCTGCTCCGGCCGCCAACAACGCTGCTCCGGCCGCCAACAACAGCAGTACCGTTGTGCCAGGGTCGGAGGATGTGACGGTCGAGGGCAAGACATTAGGCGTTTTTACTTCCTCCGCTAATGCTGCTGCCACAGGTGGCGCTCCCGGAGGCACGCCATGTCGCAGGATTCCCTCGAGTATGTAGACGGGCAACTGTGACGAGTTTTAATTGTGTCGCGACGCAATGGAATGAGGCACTAGTTAGTTTTAGGCATATGGAGTTATTGGTATCTCCTTAAAGCTTGTTCTTTTATCTTGCTTTTGATGAAAAGAAACACCTATCCGTCTTTAATGGAAGTTGAGATACTTTCGATTGAAGAAGGTGGGGTCGCCTGGTGTCAGAGGTAAAATTAACGAGAAAATGGCTGTCAAAGCTCAGTGTTGTTCAAAGCTTGAGTGTCCTCGCAAACTAAAAATTTACATTTTTTCCAGTAAATTCCATGTAGAAAGTGTTTTTAAATGGACATTACAGGTGTTGCAAAGATAAACGACGGTTTTGTAAGAAACTCGAAGAACGGTTATCGTATGAATGTGTTTCTCTGTACTCAAACTGCCACTAATCAACTAATGATTGTGTAGCTTTATTCTTCTCAGTTTTGGTTGTGAGTGGTAGTTGGAAGGCGCTGCTGGTAGTTCCTGCTTCTGTTTTTTTTTCCTGTATTGTTCCTGTCTATCCTGCTTTTTTCCCCTGCTGCAAAAGGATCATACTTGTGTCAAAATGCTTTTGCGGCTCTTTACCCAAACGTACAAACAACATCCATTTCTTTTTTTCTTTCTTTTTGCAGCGAGCTCGGAGAGGGTGATGTTGAGTCGTCTCGGCAGTGACTCAGGCTCTCAGATGTCAGACTTTGAGCAGGCCCTGATGCGAGCGCGCGCCACCGTGATGACAGACGAGCGCAGCATTGTGCTGAGCGGCTCTCCACCGCGCCGCTGGTCGGTCGCCGACGTAAGTCTCAAACAGTTGCCTGCTCTCCCATTGTTCGTGAGGGAGAAAGAAAAAGAAAGGGAAAAAGAAAAGGCGAGAGCCAGCAAGCTTGCGGAAGTGAGTTGTTTTTATTAGGGTTTTTTCCTCTCACTTCCTAGACGAGTGTGTGTGAAGGGTGTGGATTTTCTGCTAACCCCTTTGAGCGTCTGGCTCCTGGTATACACGGACTCGCTCGACTTATGGTAACTATTGCAGACCTGCCACCTCACCTTGATGGCAATTGGAGTTTTGGGGGGTCTTTTTTGCTCTTGATTTTATAAAGGAATCTTTCACTATCGAAGAATTGGTGACAAATAGCATATGGTATCAGGAGAAATTATAGGATTTCACCATATTGTGCTTGAAAATGCTTGAGAACAGGCATCCAAGTTAGTAAAGGCCATAGACCTATACATTTTCAAAAAGTGAAATGTATGTAGACAGTAGAGCTCATTTGTTAAGGAGTTAAAATGGTTGGTGAATAAAAACGAGACAAATGAACGGAAATAGCGGCTCAAATTATGTAATACCGCAGAAAAAAATTGAAGTAAGACGTTGCTCAGCAGTCAAAATTCGGGGGGAGGAGGGGGGGAGTTTGGCTCTTTTAACTTGTTTAAAACAAATAATTTTCCCTGAGTATTGTCTTTGCTGAATAGTCAAAATTCATTTTAAAAAATATTTTGGCACTATGTACTCTGTAAAGAATTTTTTTTTTCCTCTCTGGACTAGTTTTGTATATTATATTGATTTTAAAAGAGCTCTTGTTTGAAAATGACTGATTCTGTCGTTGGCCACTGGTTGGGTTGACAGGTCTGCAGTGTGACTGACTGGTGTAGTCTCTGGTCTGCCCACATGGGTCATGTAGTACTGTATCACAGTACGACTTACACATATTTGTTTGTTACACTGACATTCACTCATGACGCAGGGAGCGGGGGTTTGAAGTGCTGCAAGATTTTTGTGTGTGATTTTGGCTATACACAACTTGCTAGTTGGTGTGATCTGTACCGACTGTTGAGTGTATGTAAGACTGCATCATATGTCACTTTTTAAAATGGTGTGTAGTGTATGGTGGAGTATTACACTAAGCAGTGGATATGTTTTTTCTTCTTTTTGTCTTTGAAAGATTATTAGAAACAGCATTGTGCCAGAATTTGGTCCTATTTTTTAGAATTCTCACTATGCCTGAGACATGAAGTGAATTTTGGGAGGGGGGGGGATACATAAAAAAAATATCTGTATATAGGCTTTTATTAACGAGTCGGAATTCAAAGCTGCTCTGAAGAAAAAATGATTGGAGTAGGATATTGGAAATGATACTTAATTCAGAAATGTAAAGCTGCAATCTTCGTTCGTTTTATTGGAAATGGCAGTTTTTAATAGGCAATGGGTTTTTTTTAGGGGGGGGGGGGGGAGGAATCTCTTGGTGAAAGATGAGGAACTTAAAAGATTATGAACTTAAGTCTTTGAAGGAAAGCTGTTGAGAGTACATGTCTTGAGTAAGTAGCTAGTACCTGGATGTGGGATAAGAAACTGTCCTGGTACAGGCAGGTGTACCTGGTGTGTTTTTCAGAGTTTAGGATTGTGGGGGGGGGGGGGGGGGTAGTTGGAGGGCGCCACAGGCAAGTCCTACTTCTTGTCTTTCCTTTTTTTGCTCTGTCTGTTCATCTTTTTCTTTCTCGGCGCTAAGTGTTTATGTGTTTCTTTTTCGTCCAAGAAATTCTCGGGTCATATACACCCTTAGATACACTGAAGCCCACACGTACACACACACAAACATTAGCTGGGCGTACAAAGTTACAATTTTTATCTGTAGGGCATGGGTGGTTGGAGCTTGCTAACAGTAAGTCCTGCTAGTTTTTGTTTTGTTTTTTGTGGTCCTATCTTTCTATCTATTTTGTGAGTGGTTCATAGCTTTGGTCAACTCTTATCTTCCTCTTTTCATTATCGCTATTTTCCCCATCGATACCAGGCGAAATGGGACCTTTGTTATTACTTTTTAAAAATCTCTCTTTTTGTCTTTTAAATGACCATCATTGTTTAAAAAAAAGAAAAATAGCGGACAAAGGAATGGAGATAAACAGAGTATTTCCTTGATCCATTCATTGCGTGTATTGTTTCTCCTCTTTCTGATGACTTTTTCTCCCCCTGTTCTTTGTTGTTTCTGCTGCAATTGGTGATAGTGTCCTGCTATTGGGTTCTGCTTCTGCCCCAAGGGTCTGGTATTTCAGCCTGTACTTGCTGTGCCTTTTTTCAGGGCGCAGAGAGCCTGAGAGACCATTATTGTGTCTGGATAGTATTCTTATTGAATGAAATAGTTACGACAAGCAGACTTTGTATCGTGTCGTTCAGGACCTTATAACTCTTTAAGCCATTGTGCCGGCAATACTCTTACCCCATCTTAGCTCCCTTGGGTGAAGAACAGTCGAACCTGCTCTGTGGGTGGTTGGCGGGTGCTCTGGTGTGATCTGCTCCTTCTTTCCTATCAAACATCTGTTGTCCTAATCTCTCCTTCTTTTTTTGTGTTTGTGTCTCTCTTGTAACACCTCTAATCTTCGGCACTTATATGACCTTATTGTGCTGCAAGTGCCGTAAAACTCTTTATTAAAACAAATGAACCGGCTCCGATGACCATGTGTCTAATCGTCTTCACTTGTACTATTGACTCTGTTCCATTCCCTCCCTGCTAGTGGTTGGAGGGTGCCACTGGTAGGTCCTTCTTCTTCCCTTTCCCTCTGTTGTTCTGTCTGTCCATCTTCCTTTTTCCCAGCACTAAATGACCATTATTGTGTCAACGTACTTCTGTTTACTCAAAAAAACCCAACAAATCATCACTTGCACAAATTACCATGTCCCATTCCCTCCCTTGCGTTTTAAATTTAAAAAAAAAAATGACACCATCCAAGAGGACCAACTGTCTAAGATGATCACTTTTCTCCTTTACAGTGTGTGGTTGTCTTGGGCTGGTTCACCAGTACTTCAGTGACACTAACTCTTTTTAGACGTGCTTTTGACTGTCAGTGCGCAAAAGCCTTAGTTAAAGGAGCACAGGCTCCGAGCGTTCTGTTGCATTGCTATTGTTTATTTTTATACAATGAATAGTTCACTTATGTCTTCCTGTTTTTGTTTCTTTGGGTGGGTGGAGGGTGTGCTTGATAGCATGTCATACATCTTTATAGCACATGTGATCTTTCTATCATGTTGCTTTAAAAAAAATTTTCAGCGCTTAATTAGCTCCTTACTGTATTGATGGGCTTTATATCTTATGGATCAATCAAGCAATGTCGTTGGTGGTTGTCGGGCGCTCCGGTGTGGTTTGCTCCTGCTTTCCCATCAAACATCTATCATTCGTATCTCTTCTTCTTCTTTGCCTTTTATGCGACTCAGTTGTAACACCTCTCAAATCTTCTTCGTCTTTTTTTTTACTCAATTGTGTTGAGAGAATGGGATGTTAAACCTATACCATTTCATCGTCTTGTGTTGCGAGTGTTGTAAAACGCTTGCTAAAAAAACAACTTAAAAAAACTAAGATTTTTTTCTTTCTATTTTTAATTATTTGTTTATACAAATCAGGAAGAACCGTTTCATGATGCTCGCCATATGGGGCAGTGGCGTCCCCTCTTTCAGACGCTCTCTGAGGCAGGTTTTCAGTTTTTCTCTCTACGCCGCTGGCTGGCTGCACATATTTACTCTGCTTTCCTCCTCTCATTCTGTGTGAAAATGAAAAAGGGCGTATCTGCCGACCTGCAGCTGATGTCTGATATAACTGGCTCTATTTTAGATGATTGCAGAGTTTTAAGTTGTCACTTCTATTGTGACCTATTTGTATTGAAAGTGCAATAAAACTCTTTCTAAAAATAAAAGCTGTCGAACTTAAGAGAGAGCGACCAAGTATTGGGAGCTGTGAATTTAGAAGGTATTAGCTTCAATTATAATCAAATGATCAGATGAAATTGTTAATGTTGAGTTGTGACGAAGATAATAACTTTGAATTGTTTTGAAGTGAACTCACATTTTTTATTGAGTGATAAATGTTAGCTATCCGTAAAAGAAATCAAAGTATTTGAACTATAATAATGCTCTTGATAAAAGTAGTAATGATATTGATAATAAAGATATTTAATGAGAAAATAATTATAATTGTGAGTGGTAATTTCATTCTCAGTGAAAGAAGTTAAATGGTTATAAAACTGTAATGTGGTGATAAAAAAAAAGATAAAGTCCTTGTGCTACAACTGTTTTGTTCTATAAGATGAAAAAAGTTCATAGGTTGTGTATTCTTATTCAGTTATGTATCCCATATCTTGCAATGAGGAGTGGTTGATTAACACAAAATTTTTTAGAAATTTTATTCACCTTTGTGAAGACAAGCACTTGTGCTTTCTGGTTTGTTTACACATTATTGAATCACTATTTTAAATGTTAAACAAATAACTTTTACATTCTGGGACATTTCTTGTAAGAAAATGCTCAATTAGATAAATGTTTTAACTTTAGGAAAAGGTAGTTTTGGTTAATATTAATTTGTACTTTCTATAAAATGATGAATTGAGTACAACTCTATGCTCTTAACCGTCTGAAGAAGGGGGTGTCAATTGGATGCTGCAACTTTGTTGTTGTGAGAATACGCAGCTCAAGATGACAGTAGCTGTGGCAATGTAGTACTGTTTAATCACCTTGACAGCAGCTTTAAAACTTAAGAATGATAGATGGTCCATCAGGAACTGGTGATGATCTGTAACATCCAAGGAGGAAGAGAAGCTATAGACCTTACTAGCTACTGCAGCTAGTATAAACGTATAAAGCAATAAATAATTTATGCCTCTGAAGGAATAAGATTGTAATGGTAATGTTTCTAAAAGAATAAGATTTGTATTATCAATATTTCTAAAAAAATAAGATTTGTAATGTCAATATTTAAAAAAAAAAGATTTGTACAATATTTCTAAAAGAATAAGATTTGTAATGTCAAGTTGCTGCTGCCAAATATCTAAGCAAGAAAGACATATTTGTGATATTGTCTGTCCTCTTTCATAAATTCAACTTCTTGTAGTGTAGATTCTGATGCAGTATAAGGTTAGAGTCTTGGCATAGTATGTAAATTGAGTCTCTTTTTGGAGGTGATTGTAATCCAAATAGAGAAAGCTAGGTGAAAACAAATTGTGTTTTTTTGGGGGGGGAGTCTGTGATAAATGAATGAAGTGGTGTTTTTAAGCCTCATATGACCAGGGGTCCTCATTTTTTAATCAGAAAAGGCAAGTTCCTTAAAAAAATCATTTCTTCTAGAATGATGGAAACAAGAACTATCTGTGGTTTTAAGGCTTGAAATTGAAAGAAATTGTTATAGTTGCTAAAATTGGTTTTTGTATTTTTATTCTTAAGATGTATGGACTTTTTGTGGTCAATTCATAGAGGCTAGTGAAACAGGAGGCCAACCTGAGACGTCAGCTGTATTCTGGCACTGCTGTTCCTCGTGCCATTTGCTTTCTTGTGTGCCTGTAGCCTTTGAGGCTATGAATTTATGTTTTGTGGTCTCAATTTTATCTTGTTATTGTTTTTCTATTAAGTTTTCCATACTGAGTGCTTTTTTTTCATGAGGGTATAAAATTCTGCTAGGTTTTATTTCATTCACCTAATTGTAGACTATAATTGAGCCGGAACAGGGCTAGTTTTGGCTAGAGTGTTTATTGGCCCGATTTCAGGCAGTGAGTGAGTTGTGTAGTTTTCTTTCGATGAACATATCACATATTTCATACACTGTAGTTAACATTTTCTGTGTGATTTGGTGGTGGATTCATCACAATTGTGACGATTGTGCATACTTCCTACTATCTTTCTCTCATCTAAGTTACTGAATGAATCAGAATTTGGAGATGACTTTTTTTTTAGAATTAAAAAAAAAGAATTTAAAAAAAAAGTAAAAAATCCCTAACTTAATGGCTCTATCGAATCTTCAAACAATATTTGAATTAAGCTTTGTTTGATCATCAAATGTTGAGAAGCCCGTTCATGGGATTGCTATGCATCAAGAGTAAAGTGAATCTGTCTCTGGATTTTGTTATTTGAAATACAAAAAAATTTTCTTACGCTGGAGAATTAGTCTATATTCTACTCGAGTGTAGGTAGGATCTCTCTCTCTCCCAACTGACAACTATTCGTGTAAATTCTGGTAGTTCTAACTTATTTCTTGGTTGTTGTGTTACTCTTATGTTATATTTTTCCGGTAATCATCCTCTAAATTATTATCTAAATAGTGTTGATGGGGGCGTATTACATTTACAATTTCATTTTCAATCTATCAAGCGTATGGGTTGTCGGAGCGTGCCTTTTCCAGGTTATTCTTCTTTACTGTCCCTCATTTGTTTCTGTATATACGAGTATATAAGTCTTGTGTTTTCCTGGCACTAAATGGCTGTTATTGTGTCTGCGTGCTTCTCTTTACTTCAAAAAGCAACAGATTTGCTTTATTTTCACGACTTGTGTGATTCACTGTCGAAGGTGAGTACGAACTCAAAAGGTTCAAAACTTTGCTTCCTGCCATTTGTTCCTTACAATGAATGGGCAGTGGAGGTGAGTTGCTGGCTGGAAGCTTAGCTCTGATTACTATTTATATGTGTTATATGTGTGGCATCGTGGTGAAATCAAGTGCTCATCAAAACATTGAAATCAAAGAATGCGGCACTTGCCCGCTTGTTGGGTAACTTTTATTTATTTTTTTTTTGCTCAACACTTCTAATGTCTATTGAAAACACATTTTTATTTTTAATTTGGAGGGGAAAAAAAACGTTCAAAAGCAAAAAAAATGTAGATTTGCAGCAGGACACTCAAACTTTGAAAGTCAGTACACTTTTGCAGGCATGTTCTCGCTTTTTTTACCTCTGACACCAAGCGACTCCAACCTCCTTCAATTACAAATATTTTGACTTTTATTCAAGAGAGACTGAATTTTAAAAAAAATCGAAAGCTAAATAAATGAACAAGCTTTAAGCTGATTCGAATAACTTCATATGCCTAAAAATTGATGAGCGCCTGATTCCGCCTTGTCGTGACACATATTTTCTTTTCTTTTGTGCTTACCACATACCTATAATTATAATGTGTGTTTGTGTGCACGCGCGTATGTGTGCATGCATGCACATGCCCTCTATGTGTTTGATTGTGTGCATGCCTGGATGGGTGTGTGTGCGTAAGTGTGTGTGTGTGTGTGTGTGTGTGTGTGTGTGTGTATAATTAAATGGGTTTGCGTGTGTGGATGTGTATCCGTGAGCATAGTAAATCTACAAGAATGTTTGGAGAGCTCTACTGGAAGGTCGTATTCTCTACTTTCTCTCTGTTGTTTCTGTCTGTCTGTCTGTCTGTCTGTCTGTCTGTTTGTCTGTCTGTCGGTCTGTCCTGCTTTTCCTGTGCAGTAAACGGGCAGTGCCATCTATGCCCATGCACTTCCCCTAAGTCAAATTAAGAAACTGAAGAACGGTGGTGTAATGCTTTGATAATTTAATTTATTTGATGAGAAGACATCACAAAGGAATATGAACCTCCTTTTCTCTTATAAGACATAGTTCTTGGTGAAATCAAAAGGCTGGGTAGATATGTCAATTTTCTCTTCAAAATGGCGTATGGTAGAGTCCAACAGTAAGCAGTAAATCTGATATTAAATAACAAACAGGTAGGTCAACAAAAAGTGTGTTTTTTTTCTTTCTTATCATATGTTTTCTCTTCTTTTCATTTCTTTTCATATTTTTTACTTTTTTATGTTCCTCTCTTTATAAAAATTTTAAAAAATGTTTTGTCCCCCCCCACCCCCTTACTTCTTTCTTCTTTCTTTATTGTTCAATTGGAGGTTCCTGCTGATATTGGTAGGTCTTACTTCTTTACTCTTTGTCTGAATTCTTTCTTTCTTTTCTTTTTTTTTCTTTCTTTCTTTTTTTCTCTCTATCTTTCTTTCTTTTTTTCTTTTTTTCTTTATGTTTATAAAAAAAAGAAGATAGTTTGATTATAAAAAAAGAAAGGACAGAAAAGCTGTCACTGCTTCATAAGACAATTCACTTTCCACTTATGTGGATCAGATTCGTTTCCCTGGAGGTAAGGCGTTTCATCTATGTTTATGATATTACTGCTGTACTTGAGAATGAATGTGATAAATATGATGGTATTAGCAATAACGTGATTCATATGATAGTAGTAAGGATAAGGTTGATGATAATAATGATGACATATAAAGTATTTTAAACAGCACTGGCTGTCCCCCCTCACTGTTCCAATTGGATCGTCAGTCATTCATGCAGTGTTGTGCTAAACTGTCTTAGTAGTGGATGGTAGGTGGGTGCTCTGGTTAGGTTTCCTCCTTCTGTCTGATCATACATATATGTCCTTGTCTTTCCTCCTCCTTTTCTTTGTAAGTTACTCTCTAGAAGAACATCTGTAATCTTCTGCACTTGTACGGCCTATTTGTGTTGCAGGTGCCGTAACATTCTTACTAAAACAAAACTGAACTGTCTTTCTCTTTCTCGGCACTGAAGGTTGTAATTGTGTCAGTGTACCTCTCATAACGGAAAACAAATTAAATTGTTGTCTTTCTCTTTCTCTGCACTGCGGGCGTTTGGTGGGTGCTCTGGTCTGATTTGTTTTTTCGTTTTTCTCAAAAATGTTTCATCCTTATTCCCCCTCCTCCTTTTGTGTGTGTTACTCTTTTGTAACACCTCTAATCTTCGGCATGTATATATGGTAAATATGACCTAGTTGTGTTGCAAGTTTCGAAAAAACTTCTCTAAAAAACAACAACAACAGAAAAAAAAGAAATAATTTTCCTGCACTTTAAATCGGCTGTTCTTGTGTCCATGTGCTGCTATTTACTGAAAGTGAACAAACAAACAAACAAACCAACAAACTGTTGTACTGACTCCTGACGGTGTGGCTAACCCCCACAGCAACAGACAGAGACCACATCGCTCTCAGCCTACCGGACCCGCATGGTGCACGACGAGGAGCACATCTTGGGACTCGCCTCCAAGGACCTGGTTCAAATCCTAGGTCTCAAGGTGAGCGAAGCTCAAGTTTTTTTTGGTTTTTATTTTGTGTGTGTGTTTTGAAAAATGTTGTGTTAGCACCATAGTAACTGTTAGATTATATAAACAAACAAACAAAACAAAACAAAAAAATAACAAACGGAGCAAATTGTTTGGAAATTAATGATGTTGATAATGATGAAGAAGCTCAAGTGTGAATTTTTTTGCCTTTTCATCACATATTTTAAATTTTTTTATGTCTGACTATGAGGGGACATCTCCGAATATTTGATATTGTAGTTTTGTCTGCCTAAAAGCAACCCCCCAAGGGAAGCAAGTCTTTGTTGCCGTTAGGTGGAAGTTGCTGTTAACAGAATTTTTTAATGGGCAAAGGGAGGATGGGGGAGGGGTGTTTATTTTTTTGGTTTTTTCCCCCCCCCCCCCCCCCCCCCCCCCCCACACACTTTGCAGATTATATAGATTGAAGAGGTGACATAACGAAAAGGTTGCATGAAAATGATGGCAATGTCAAAGATAGGTTTGCACAGAAGGCGGATTGAATGGTTTCTAAAGATAAAAGTGACTACTTTTCACTCACTTCAGACAAGTTGAAATATCTTTCTTTAACTTTTTTTCCCCTCTAACTTTATAAAAGTTTAAAGGTCTGCATTAGTTTTTTTTATTGACTCGAGACAAGTTTAAATGTTGTGTATTAATTTTTTTTTTTTCAAATTCACTTTAGACAAGTTAAAATATCTTTCTCTACCCCCCCCCCCACCCCCCACTAACTACTTTAGATAAAGTTTAAAGGTCTGCATTAATTTTTTAAAATTCACTCATGCCAAGTTTAAATGTGTATTCATTTTTTTTTCTATGTACTCGCTTTAGACAAGTTTAAATGTTGTGTATTATTTTTTTTCTCCAGGACCCAACTTTGCTGGACAATCGTTTAACACTGAACTATGTCAGGGCTGGTTCCATCTTCTGTAAACAGGGAGATCAGGTTTGTTGCTGTTTGTTCCGCTCACTGTCCTGGTTGGTGGTTGGTGGGTGCTCTGGTGTGTTTTAAAAAAAAGTTTTAGAAAGAGTTTTACGGTACTTTCAACGCATTTAGACTGTATGAGTGCCGAATATTAGAAGTGTTACAAGAGTAACAAACACAAAAAAGAAGGAGGAGAGATGAGGACAATCGAGTTAACAGGAAAGAAGGAGCAAACCACTCTAGGGCACCCGCCAACCGCCCACACTGGTGTGGTTTATGCATGTACTACATGTATTTAGTTTCCGGTTGTGGTTGTGTGTATGCGCGACCATTTAAACATCCACTACCATTGTAAATGACCGGAGACAAATTTCTCCCTGAGGGTGGAATAAAGATTGTCATTGTCACTGTTTGCTCCTTCTTTCCTATCAAACATATATGCTGTTGAGCTCTTACCAAAACTATAAAACTAGAGTGAGATTAAGATGTCCAGATGTTCAGGTTCTGTAAATAAGTTATTGGCCTAGAGCCACATGGCAGTGAGCACGATAAAAGTGATCTTTTTCCTTCTTCTCCTCCTCCTCCTCCTTTTCCTCCTCCTCCTCCTTGTTTTTGCTGCCTTTGTTCTTCTTTTCTCATTATTCTATTATATAAATAATATGCTGACTGTTAATTTTTAAAAAGTTAATTCCCAGTAAAGTGCCCTGATCTTTTCCTCTTTGTCTCTGGTGTTCAGTGGAAAACGGCACCGCTTCTTCCAGTCCTCCTCCTTTTCCTCTTCCTCCTCTCCTCTTCTTTTCATTCTGTGAAAATGTCTGTTTGAACAGGATGCCAGTTTGTTCTTCCTGGTGAAGGGAACTGTGAGTGTCCTCCAGAACAAGGTGGGAGAGTCGGCCAAAGAGGTGAGTGACCACTGGTCATCTGCAAGTACACAGTGAACAAATGATGCACAAAATACTTAAAATGAAATGTTTGCCATCTTAGTGAAATCAGGCGCTCGTCAAAAGAATGAAGTCATAGAAAGTAGTGACATTTTACATTTTTCCTCTAATGGGGCTTTTTAATATTGATTTTTTTCCCAGTCTGTTTTTTTTGGGGGGGGGGGCTGAACACCTCTTATGTCCATTCAAAACACAAGGCTGTGTGGATTTATCTGAAAAAATGTTGATCCCGCGGGCATAAAAAGATAATAAATTTAGATTCCAAGGACGCTCAAACTTTGGAAGTCGCTGAACTTTAAACAGCCATTTTGTCCCAAATTTTACCTCTGACACCAGGCAACTTCTACCTCTTTCAACAACCACCACCTCTTTCAGTGACTAATATCTAAAAAAAGAAAAAAAAAGTACCAACTTTTCTTTTTCGCCTGTTTTCCCCAGGCCCTGATGTTCCAAGCGGAGCCAGGTGAGATCATCGACGTGCTGGCTGTGCTGACCGGCGAGCCTTCCTTTTTCACCATGAGGGCCAAGACTGACGCGATCATGGTGGTCATCTCCAAGCCAGACTTTTACCAGTAAGGTTTTTTAAAACACGTTACACCCTTATGGTCTGGACAGGAAGTCTATTCCCCCTCAAACCCCAAGCAAGGGGAGGTAACTCACCACCTCGATTGGCACTAATACTAGAACTACTGACTGGAAAAATTTTACATCGGTATCCAACAGAAAATTTTTTTTGGTGTAATAACTAGTTAAAACAAAATCTTGGCCCTTGAGTTTGAGAGACTTTGTTTCTAAAGATGCCTGGTCTGAGTGGGTGATTGCGGGTGTGTTAGGATGCAACTTGTTGAGAAATTTACGGGTGATCTCAGGGGAGTTGGGGTGTAATGTATCAAATGTTTTTTCCGGTGATGAAAACATATCCTGGGTACAAGAATAAGTTAGTTGAAATTGCTCAAGACGGCCACCCATTGTTGAGGAGAAAAGTGGTTGTCTTAAACGGGAGATTTTTGGATAGTGTTATTTTAATTTAAAACAAATGGAAAGTGAAAAGTGATTGTTTGTACAGGTGGTTGACGTAGACAGATTGCCGTTCAATCAGGTTCAACTGTCTTCTGAAAAGTTGGGTTCATCTACTACCTTTCAGTGATCACGAGATACTTCTTGTTAGATGATAACTGTTGTTTCAGTTTCAAATAAAATGACAGCTTGTTATGTTCCGCTATTTTGTTTTCGACAGCATCTGCCTAGTGGGGCTGTAGTATGCTGCAAAACTTTTTCCACATGATGTGGACCATGACCAAGTGCCTTACCTTTAGAATGACTGTTTTTCTATAACCGGTTCTCTCCCCCCCCCCCCCCCCATTAGATTTAGACCAGTTTTCCATATCATATTGTATTTATACAAAATGAATTTGTGCCAGGATAATACTTGTTGCTTCTTCATTGCATAGCTGCCAACCAGTACGTAAAGGAAAAGGTATTCATTATGTTTATAGGGGTCTGAGTATGCAGGGCCGTTTTTATGTAGGAAAATATGTATTCTCTGTTTTCTAGTATTGCTCCTCAAGGACTTGCCAATGCTAAAGAAAGATTGTGAACTTTCCTGACAGATTTGTGAATGATAATTAAAATGAAGCCCTTAGGTCTTTCTGCTTGATACTGTATTTGTGTGTGTGTGTGTGCAAAATTAATGTATGCAACATGATCTGTTGTGCAGGATAATGCGGGTGGAGCCATTTATCGTGCTGAACGTGGCTCACACCACCGTGCGCCGCATGTCCACCTTTGTGAGGCAGATTGACTTTGCTCTGGACTGGCAGATGCTAGAGGCAGGGAAGGCTCTATTCAGGTTTGTGGGATGTTTGTTAGATGTTTGTGAGTATTTTTCTCTTCAAAAACAAGTCTCATGAACAGATTTCAAGTTGTTTCCAATAACACCACATGCCCAAAAATTGACCAACGCCTGATTCCCCTGTGCCGCTATTCAATTTCTGTGGGGGGTTGGTGGGTGCTCCAGTGTGGCTTGCTCCTTCTTCCTTATCAAACATCTATGGTTTTTATCTCTTTCCTCCTTCTTGTGCGTTTGTTGCTCTCATGTAACACCTCTAGTCTTCGGCATTTATATGACCTATATGTGTTGCAGGCGCCTTAAAACTGTTACTAAAAGTTAACTAAACATCCGTCATCCATGTCTCTCCTCCTTCCTTTTTGCTGTTGTTGCTCTCATGTAACACCTCTAATCTTCAGCATTTATATGACCTTGTTGTGTTGCAGGTGCCGTAAAACCCTTACTTAAAAATCCCCTAAAAACTAAGTTGTTCCCAGTATTACCCATCACACCCAAAATTTGACAAGCACCTGATTCCACTGTGTCGTGATACGATTCTTTGACATATTTTTGTGACATCAACAGACAAGGGGACTCCAGCGAAAGTATCTTCATCGTGCTGACCGGTCGGCTGAGGTCAGTCATCACCACCCTGGGGGGGAAGAAGGAACTGGTCAATGAATTCGGCCGCGGAGAACTGGTGGGCATTGTGGAGGTGTTGACGCAGCATGAACGCGCTACCACCGTGCTGGCTATCAGGTGTGTAGTTGTGTGTCTTAGGTGTGTTGGAATTGACGCAAAATGAGTGAGCCACCACTGTGCTGGCTATTAAGTGTGTAGTTGTTTGTGTCATGTGTGTATGTCTGTGTTGGCAATGTATTTGCATGTGTGTTATGTGTGTTGGAATTGACAAAGCATAAGCTTAGCATTACTGTGCTGGCTGTCGTGTGTGTAGTTGTGTGTGCCATGTGTGTATGTGTGTTGGCAATGTTTATGCATGTGTGTTATGTGTGTTGGAATTAACAAAGCATAAGCTTAGCATTACTGTGCTGGCTGTCGTGTGTGTAGTTGTTTGTGCCATGTGCATACCTCTGCTATGGACTTTCAAGTCTGGATTTGTAAATAATGATATGTATAAATTCCATAAGTCCATTGGAGAGACTTTTATTAAACATTACTGACAATATTGCTGCAGATCTGCTTTGAATAGCTTAAATTAATTGAATGTAGAAAAGTATGTGTGAAGGGTCTGGAGGGGGGGTTACTTGACTAATGACCACCATCTTGACCTGTTTGTTTGGAAAGGTTGGAAGGTTTTTGGAAAAATTGGAAGCTTTTTTGAAAAGTTGGAAGCTTTGGAATAGTAAAAATGGGTGGTTGATGGGTGAAGTGGTGAGGTTTCCTCCCTCTTTCCTATCAAACATCTTTCGTCCTTATCTCTCCTCCTTTTTTTGTGTTTGTTACTCTCTTGTAGCACCTCTAATCTTTGGCATTTACACGACCTAATTGTGTTGCGAGTACCATAAAACTCTTTAACTCTTACTATAAAAAAAAAGAACAAAAAACCCCCCAAAAAACAACAAAATTTTCGTTCCCCAGAGACACGGAGCTGACCAAGATCCCTTCAGAGTTGCTGAACCTGATCAAGCTGCGGTACCCCCAGGTGGTTGCCCGACTCATCCATCTGCTCGGGACCCGCATCCTGGGCACGCTGCAGCAGAAGAACTCCATGAACCTCCAGGCCTCCATGCCACTGGACAGTGGTCAGTCTCCTTGTTTCTCACTTTTTCTTTTGTTTTTTTTGGTTTTCTCTCCCTCCCCAAAAAAACCCAAAACCAAAACACCCCCCCCAACCTTTTTAGCGTCAGAATGTTATTAGCGCACTACAGCAGAAAAACTCCATGAACCTGTAGGCCTCCGTGCCACTGGACAGTAGTCGGTTTACTTCTTTCTCTCTGGGGAGGTTTCATTTCCTATTTTTAAAATTACATCTCAGGCATTCTACAGCAGAAGAACTCCATGAGCATAAAGGTGTCCACCCTGCTGGACAGTGGTCAGTATTTTTCTTTTTCTCTTTTCCTCTTTGTTCTCTATGACCTATGACCCTTCTCTAAGATCCACTTGGCCTTCCCCTTGATCTCTTGCCCTGTGGACTTCACGTTTGGTGCACATAAGCGGTTAAAGGTAGATGGGTTAAGAGCATTCTGAACATTTTTTTATCGTCTTCTGTCACCAGCCGACACGTTTTCCAAGATGGAGAGGACGACAGTGGCCAACCTGGCGACCATAGCGATTGTGCCGGTGACGGAGGACGTGCCCCTGACCAACTTTTCCCTGGAGCTGCAACATGCCCTGCTCTCTATAGGTGATTAACGAGGAGGATCATCATCATCATCATCTTTGTTATCGTCATCATCTTTGTTATTGTCATCATCAGCAGTAGGGGCAACAACCGCAGAATAATGATTATAAAATGATAATAGCTGTCATCATCATCATCAATATCCATCATCATCAGTGTTAAAAGCAGTTGCAGCAACAACAGCTGCAAAATAATAATGATAATGGTAATAAAATTAATAGTAATACAAATGATTATTTTGAAAATTAAAAATGAAATGATGAATAATGGTAATAATAATAATATTGATCATTACAATATTAATAATGATAATCACAATAACAACAACAACAACAACACCAGTTATATTTATATTAGTGATGATGATGGGAATGATAATAATAACATTGATAATAATAGGGACAATAATAATGATAAGCGTGGTAGTAATGATAATAATTTACATAATAAAAATAATAATAATAATAATAATAATGATGGAAATAGAAATAATGGTAATAATAATTATAATAACCTTTTTGGTTTTTTTTCGTTCCTCAGGTCCAACAGTTAGACTGACCACTGACATTGTCAAAGCTCGCTTGGGCACGGGAGCTCTGGACGGGTAAGATAGCACCCCCCTCAAATTGAAGAGAAAAAAAAGCTACCACAAAAAGACACCCCCCCCCCCAAAAAAAAAGAGAAATTATAAAAATTAACCTCTAAATGTCTTGATGTACCCAGAGTGGTGACACAAGATTGTTCTTCCTATTAGTGTTGCAAGTGCTTTAAAACACACTCTAAAACTAAATAAGAACCCCAAAAACAAATCAAGTAAATCCCCCCAAAAAGAAAACGCGTAAAATCTGTCTTGCCGTCCTCCCCAGAGTGAACGAGTTCCGGCTGTTCAACTGGCTGAGCCAGCAGGAAGACATCCACCGCATGGTGCTGTACCAGTGCGACTACCAGCTGAGCAAGTGGACCAAGCACTGCCTGCGACAGGCCGACTGTATCCTCATTGTGGCACTCGGAGACAAGGACCCCAAAGTTGGGCCCGTGAGTCTTTTGTGTTTAAACGCAGTGTTTCTTTCATGAATGTGTGTTCTTTCTCTCTTTTTCTGTCTGTCTGTCTGTCTGTCTGTCTGTCTGTCTGTCTGTCTGTCTGTCTGTCTGTCTGTCTTTTTTCTTTCTCTCTCACTCTCTCTCTCTCTCTGTCTCTCTCTTTCTCTCTCTCCATGTGTCTCTCTTTGTCCGTCTCTCTTTGTCTGTCTGTCTCTCTCTCTCACTCTTTCTCTCTTTCTGTCTCTCTCTGTCTCTCTCTCTCTCTCTCTGTCTCTCTCTGTCTCTCTCTCTCTCTCTCTCTCTCTCTCTCTCTCTCTCTCTTCTCTCTCTCTCTCTCTCTCTCTCTCTCTCTCTCATTCTTTCTTGATCAATTATCCCCTTTCCCTCTCTCCTCTCCCTGTCTGTGGTGTAGCAGTTACAGGCTTCGCTGTCGCACACAGAAGACCGGAGTTCAGTTCTGAGTAGGAAGAAATTTTTGTCTAGTATATCTTGTCTTTCTGCGGGGATGTTGTACGGGGTATCCCTCTGTGCCTGCGTTTGCCCTGAGAGGCAGGTTAATCTTTAAAGCTTTCAAAATCTGTAATAAATATTTATATGATATATTTTTGACAGCTTTATTTTTCTCTTTGCGCTGTAATTCTTTTATGAAAATAATGTTCAATTTCAATTCTCTTATATTTTCGTGTGTTTTTACCATTCCTGTACAGTCTCAGAAAATTTATATTATCTTATCTATTTTAGTAACACGGTTTATCTGCACATGGCTGTATGGTGTGCTGAAAGACTGGGATGATGTATCGTTGTATGATGTATGGTACTGGGCGAGTTAATTACGTAGATGATGGGGACACAAAACTCCTGCATTTTTAAATCAAAAGTTACAAAAAAACAAAACCAATGTGTCTCTCAGATCGAGCAGGAGCTGGAGAACTTTGCGGTGCGAGCCCAGAAAGAGCTGATCCTGCTGCACAAGGAAGACGCGGAGACCCCGCGCAACACGGCCGACTGGCTCAACTTCCGCGGCTGGCTCTCCTCACACCACCACATCCGCTGTCCTAAGCGTGTGCTGAAGGCACGGTCACCTGCCAAAACTGTGAGTGTGCGTGTGTGTGTACGTGTGTGTGTGCATGCGCGTGCCTGTTTTCTGTTCAGTTTTCTGTGTATCTGTTTACCTCTTATACTGAGTTCTTTTTCAAAACTGAATGTGTGGGTTCTGTCCTGTTTTTCCATACATTTTTTTGCCTTGTGACAAGTGAACACTTTGCCAAGACAGTGAGTGCTTCAGCCCCATTGTCTTTTTTTTTTGTATCTCCAGCAAAGGCATTAAAACTTTACACTTTCTTTTTTTCCACAGTTGGAAATGTATGAACGCCTGTTTGAAACTCCTCCTGATCGTCTCACAGACTTCTCTCGTCTAGCCCGCTTCTTAACGGGCACATCTATTGGCCTAGTTCTGGGAGGTGGAGGTGCCAGGTAAGAACATTTGTGTGGCATCGTCACTGAACTCGGGCATTTGTCAAAATAATGAAATTTTAAAAATCCAACCCCTAAAACATAACTTTTTTTCCTGCCTGTTGGACAATTTTTATCGGATTAAGAATATTTTTTGGGCTCAACGTTCATTTTGTCTATTTGTGAACACATTTGTATGTGGATTTTTACTAAAACCAATACTGAAAAAGGCAAAGAAATGTAAATTTACAGTTTTCTAGGACGCTTGAGCTTTGAAAGTTGACAAACTTTGGTGGCCATTTTCTCGCTTATTTTACCTCTGGCACCAGGCAACACCCAATTCTTTAATAGCCAATATCTCAACTTCTATTCAAGATAGATGGGTATTGTTTTAGAAATTAAAAGTAAGACAAATGAACATGCTTTAAGATGATACCAATAATTCAAGGTCTCCCAAAACTGACGAGATCAAATGGGGTTTGGCGGGTGGTTGGCAGGTGCTTTGGTGTGGTTTGCTCCTTTTTCCCTATCAAACATTTATAATCCTGATCTCTTCTCTTTTTTTGTGTGTTTGTTACCCTCTTGTAACACCTTTTATCTTTTGCAGTTCTATGACCTAACTGTTGCAAATGCTGTAAAACTCTTACCTAAAATTTTAAAAAGTGGTTTTGATGTGGGACTCTTCACTCAAACAAACTTTTTCGTACATACCCCAAAACTTCTCACCCCCTGCACAGAGGACTAGCCCATGTTGGGATGATTAAGGCGATGAGGGAGGTGGGCATTCCCATTGACATGGTTGGGGGGACCAGCATGGGTTCCTTCATCGGCGCGCTGTGGGCAGAGGAGAGGAACTACGTGCGCTTCACTCAGAGAGCAAGAGAATGGTCTATGGTTAGTATTCGGCGCTAGTCTTTTTTCTTTATTTTTTAATTTCGTGCCCATATGAGAATGCATGGTTTTGTATATATTCATACAGTGGCTATTCGTTAATGTACTTCTGGGTGAGTGTGCGTCAGCATTTGCGTGCGTGCATGCGCGCGCGCGTGTGTGTGTGTGTGTGTGTTTGCGTGCATGTATATATTACTATTACGCTGCAATTTTTTGTTTCTGAAGATCGGTAAAATGCTATGGTATGTTATTTTATTAGGCGGGTGATTGGAGGATGTCACTGGTAGATCCTAATTCTTTACTTTCCCTCAGTAGTTTCTGTCTGTCTGCCTTACTTTTTCCCAGCTCTAAATAACCTTTATTGTGTCTTTGGGCTTCTTTTGACTTAAACATGCTAAGCAAATGAGAATGCATTTGTAGGTGCGTGTGTTTGTGTGCATGTGTGTGTCCGCGTTTTTTTGTGTGTGTGTGTGTATTATTACTTTTTGCTATTATTATTATTCTAATTATTATTTTTTCTATTATTATTATTATTATGATTATTATTATCATCATCATTATTATTATTATTATTAATATTAACAATCAGTGTGATCTTCGGTTTGTTGCTTTCAGAACATGACGTCCTTGTGGAAGAAGATCTGGGACCTGACTTACCCAGTGACGTCAATGTTCACAGGTAATGCCTTCGTCTTATGCTCCAGGTTGTGTGTGTGGATGTGAGTGTGTGTGAGGGTGTGTGTGTGTGTGTGTGTGTGTTTGGGGGGCGCGCTGTCCCCGTCTAAAGGTTCGGTGTTCACCTCTCAATCGAATGATCCTGGATAGAAACTTGTTTGCGAAGAAAACATAATTAGTCCCAAGTTCTATTTTTTTGTTCTCTAGGCCTGATCTGTGATCTGCTTCTTTCTCCACTCTCTCATGCCCTCCATCAACTCTAACCCCCCCCCCCCCCCCCCTGTTCCTCTCTCCCTTACTCTTGGCTCTTTCTACTGCTACTCTTGGTCCTTTCTTGCTGCTGTCTTTCAGCCACACCCTTGATCTGACAGGCCCTATGAAGTATGTAAAAATGGTCATTTACATAAAAATCAGTTGAACTGCAAATTGAAGAACCCCTGAGATCTAGCAGGGGAACTTAAAGGTTAAGAAGATTCTCCAAATTGTCGCAGTTGTAATTTGATGCTTTGAGAAAGTCATCGGTCTTATTGAAACAGTGCCTTGGATTTTATTGTGATGATTTTTATCTTAAATTTTTATTATTATTGTTTCTTTTGTTCTGTTTAGGCAGGTGGTTGGTCCTACTTCTTTTCTTTCACTCTGTTGTTTCTATTGGTCTTGATTTTTCGCACTATTAAGTGAAAGTTATTATGTTGAAACACTGCGGGGAGGGGTACAGAGAGGAAAGGGGTTTATTTGTTCCATGGAGGAGGGTAAGAGAGAAGGGGAAGGAGAAAGAGAGGGAAGATAGGTGAGGGCCATTTGTTTGGGGGGTGGGGGGGGGAGAGAAGGAGTTACAAGAGGAAGATTGAGGTAGGAGTTGAGGGGGGTGTCACTTGAAGCTGAGAAACTGTTCTGTACAGTAGGTAAAGTGCCTAGAGCTGTGAGTACACTGGATGAGGCATTATAAAAAATGATCTACATTATTAGTATTGTTATTGTTATTATTATTGAATTATTATTATTGTTTATATTATTATTTATTATTATTACAACTATTATTATTATTATTATTACTACTACTGCTATGCTATTATTGTTATTGTTATTATTATCATTATAATTAATATTATTATTATTATTGCAGGCTGGTCTTTCAACGAGTCTATTGAGGCCACATTCCGGGAACGCCAGATAGAGGACTTGTGGATTCCGTATTTTTGCATCACAACAAACATATCCAATTCCAGTATGAGAGTACATTCCGTAGGTGAGTGAATTGTTCAGACGGAATGTGCGTTCTTCCATTTCATCATCTTTTTTAATTATCATCAGTGCTTTTATCACCTTGCATCAGGGTATAGGCCAAGAACAAACCGTTCTCATATTTTGTTTGGGTGTTGAATCTCAAAATTATTGTTATTTGTCAGCGTAAGAATTATTTGTCAGCATTAGATTTTGTGTTCAGGGACCCACGATATATATTTATTATATTTTTTTTTTACATCGTGTTCATTTTTATTTCTGCAATGTTTATGTTTTATATGAGTGGGTAGATTGGTATCTAGGAATCTGTCATTTAACATTCCTAATGGGTAATGGGCTAATTTTTCATGGAAAAATGCCCTTTAGATCTCTTTGAAATATATGCTGGTTTGTCACTGTTTAGAAACATTTTGTCCACTTTTTTGTATGAAATCAAGACTCGTTAACCTTCTAAGAGAAATGGATCTACTTATTTCTTCTGTAATTTATAACTCTGTGAATTATGTGGATATTGTAGACCAGTGACCTTTTTCTTCTTTCTGTCTTCCCTTTTCACCTTTTTTCCTTCTTCCACCTTGGTTTCTCCTCTTTGCTTTTATCTTTCCTCTTCTCTTCAACAAAAGTTTTACTTCTCTTAGTATTGTCGCTGTATTTGTTATTGTTCTCATAGATTTATAATAATGCTGTTTTTGTCATTATCATCATCATCATCATCTTATATATATCATCATCATCACATATATCACCACCACCACCACCATCGTAATCATCATCATCATCACATATATCACCACCACCACCACCATCATTATCATCATCATTTATCACCACCACCATCACCATAATCATCACCGTCACCATCGTCATGATCACCACCATCACCATCCATTGCTTTGAATGCCTAGTAGCTAGATGTTTAGTCTCACTAGGTGTGTGCAGGAGCCAGTGGAAGGCTGCAATGCTGAACATTTTCAGTGTGGTAGGTAGCCCGACCTACTTCTGACTGTAGGGAGGATGACATCGGAGGATGGCTGTCCATCGGAAACAACTACTGTTGTCAGCTTTCTGTTGTCTCTGGTGTCAGGAAAATTGCCTGGTTCACAAGAAGAAGAGGAGAAAGGATGAGGGATAGGGGAAGAGGGTTTGTTTGTTTTGTTTTTTAGGGGAGGGGTTGGGAGGAAGGGTCAATTCATTTTCTTGGGGGTAGGAGGGAATGAGAGGAAGGGTGTTCATTTTTCTTTTTGGGTGGTTTATGGGGGAGGGGGGGGGAATGGTATTTGTCCTTTAGGGCGGTGGGGGAGGGGGTGGAGAGAGGGTTTATATTTTTATTTTTCTGGTGGGTGGAGGGAGAGAACAGAAGTATAGACAGAGAGAGATAAGGTTCTTTTGGCTAATTGGATGGAGGGATGAGGAAGATGGAGAGTTTTAAAAAAATTTAACAACGCTTGCAACACAAATAGATTGTATAAAGGGGTGTTACATTTAGAGAATAATGTACCAAAAAGGGAGGAGAGATAAGGGGGGGGGAGGGGAGATATATATTATTTTGTCCTCTTTGAACTCTGGAGTCCTGGGGCAGTGTTATTCTGGAATGTCAGTCTCCTCCTTTTCCCTCCTGTGTGTTGCTGGTCTGTGTACATTTAGCGGCCAACCAGTACCATGTAAAAGAACACAGTAAATATGTTTTTTGAGGGTGTGGGTACGTAAACTTGTTTTCACAAAGGAAAATATGTATTCTCCATTTTCTTGTGCTGCAACTCAGGGACTTACGAGTGTTGTAGAAGAGCTATTAACTGTGAAACACCAGATTTGCAAATATACAAAGAACGGAGCCCGTAAATATATTGCATCGGTGTCCTTCTACAAAGCTACCTATTGAATTATTCCGTTTATCGATTGAATGTAGAAGAAAAAATTTGCGCGAACGATTTGGAGGGAAGTGACTTGGCCAACGCTCACCAGCTTGACTCGCTGTGTAGGTATAGCGTCCGGTTTTATTTTGATTGTTGAAAAGTTTGGCAGCATTATGTGTGTTTGCAGGCAGCGTGTGGCGTTATGTCCGGGCCAGCATGTCTCTCTCGGGCTACTTGCCCCCGCTGTGTGACCCCGTGGACGGCCACTTGCTCTTGGACGGAGGCTACGTAAATAACTTGCCAGGTATTACTCGTGCCATGACTCTCCCCCACCCTTTTGGTCCCCCACGATGGACCCCTCAACACCCCCCTCACCCCACACATACTCAATCTTTCTTTCTTTCTTTCTTTCAACCCCCCTTACTTTCTTTTTCTTTTTCACATCATGGCTCGTTTGTTTTTATTTTTTTTTTTTTTTTAAATTTTACCGGCATTTTGGGGTTTATTAACACATTTTTCTCTATGTTGTTCTACCTTGCTCCAGGTAGCTTATGGCGCTATGTACGTGCCAGTATGTCTGTCGCTGTTTACCTACCCCCTATGTGTGATCCTTACGATGGGCATTTGCTGCTTGATGGTGCATATGTCAATAACGTTCCAGGTATGCACTGTCCAGACGGTCCGACCTATTACATTTTTTTTGCCGTTCAATTGAGAAAAAAAAAATGTCCCCCTCCCCCCGTGACGCGTGCTGACTTTTCCTTTTTCTTTTACTTTCTTTCTTTTGTATTAAACAACAAAAGAGTTTCCTTTGCTTGGATTTTTTTCTCTGTTCTCTGTTGCTTAGGCTGTGGAAGTTCTGTTCCCCCCTCCCCTGCCCCTCTCCTGCTAGTGTGTATGGTATATTATTACCTTTTGTCCCCCTCGTTCATGCTAGCTTCCCACCTCTCTCTTACTCTTCGTATTTAACCACAGCCTCTTTGGCCTATGTGAGGCGTTTTGCGTTTCAGTGCTGCACTGGTTTGAATTACTTATTTTCCTCTTCGGAAGTGTTTATGCAGTGATTTACTTTGTTCGTGTTTGGTTTATTTTTAATTTGAAACCAAATTTTTTTGTTTTATTTTGTTGTTGTAGACTTTAGTTTCAAAGTTTGAAAAATTAACATGGGTGAGATGGCATGTTAAATCTAGTGAGGTGTTGCTCGTAACTTTGGGTCACTTTATTAACTAATTGGTTTTCAGGGTGTCAGTAATTCACTCAAGTTTCAGTGTACGAAAAATAGGTACTAACTTATGAAAAATAAGTACCAACTTAATTCTTTACATTCATATTGATATGTGTATATATATATATTTATTTAGTACATATTTATTTGATATATTACTTTTGGGTTATTTGATGACTAACTGTTTTCCAGAATGTCAGTAACTGAAACTTAATTGTGTAGTCTTTCCTTACGGATGGAGCTTGAAGTCAAGTCTCTCTCTAGGAAGTTGATGTAAGTAGAACTTATTGTTTTTAGGAGCGCAAGGATGATTACCAACGATTGAGAATAAAGATGAATCGTAATGATAGATAATGAGCTGTCAGGGATAAAGGGAAATGGTAAGTAAGAAATAATACTTATCTATGGTTTAGATCAGCGCTTGTTAACCTACTTTTACTTTTAGCCAGCGCATTCTTTCACCCTCTATTAAGAGGCTAAAATTTTGGTACGGCCCACCTACTTGTATTTCCAAAAAGGGCATTGAATGATACCTCTCTCTACATGGGTGATCCCTACCACCCACCAACATAAATTGCCTGCGAGTGAATGATATGGCCCAGGCTGGCAAGCACTGATTTAGAATAATGATTTAGAATCCTAGTAAAGGCTAATGATAAATAATCAGTTTTGATTGATAATGTATATGATTTTTATTGGTAAATAAGGATAAGTACTTACGTATGAAGAAGAGTAATTATCAAGTGTAAAGATTAATTGTTTGGTATAGTGGTAGCGGTAAACAGTAATGATTCATTTACTTACAAGCTAGAGTAATGATAATTTGTAATGGGGAATAAATAAGAATTTTTAGATGGTGATGATACTGATAAATAAGGAAGATATTGCTTTACTGTAAAAATAGGGATAAATTGGCAAGTGGAAAAGTGTTGGGAGTTTTGAAATAGAGGCAAAATAACTGGCAACTATGGATGATCAGTTGTGATAAATATTAATGATGAGTAGTTATGAAAAATTGTGAGAAGTAAGATTTTTTTCAATGATAATTTTGCACTGTACAGTCCTTAAAACCTTCAAGGGATTAAGCGCTGTATAAATTAACACTATTATTATTATTGTGTCATATACTTTCGATATCGCATACTCTGAGAAATATTAAAGTATATTGTTGTGTTTATTATTATTATGTTAAATGCTATCCATATTGCATATCTCTGAGAAGAAACATACTATTATTATTATTATGTTAAATACTATTCATATTGTGTACCATTGAGATGAAGTATAAAAGTATTATTTTTACTAGTGTGTTAGAGACTGATACTGTCCAAAGAGCATACTATCAAGAAGTGTAAAATTATTGTTATAATTCTAAATACCCTCCGTATAGCAAACCTCTGAGAAAAAGTATAAAAGGAAATTGATTCCCTGCCGCACATGACTGGCTAGGTTTAGGACAGAGAAACGGGAGCTTTCTCTTCACCTCCGTCTTCCTCTTTGGCACTTGTAATTCGTTTTTAAGCCGATTGTGTTGTTCAGATGTAGAAGATTCCAGTTTTTTGGGCGGGGAGTTGGGGGGGGGGGAGGGGGGGCGGCGCCGTCTATTCTGTCCAGCTTGTCTTCATTCCGATTATGTATAGAGTACTAGTCTTGATTACTTTGGTCAGTTAATCCACCATAACCGAACAAGGTGATATAGCCCCCTCTTTACTGAGGGCTGACAAGACACAATATGGGAATCAACATGCATTCGCATACTGTAAAAAAAAACCCTGCCCATTCCAAAGTCTTTTCTCAGTTCTTTTCAGTTGTTCTGTTTCTTTACTTGGACTGCTCAGTGTAAAACTCTGCCATGCGCCATTTTGAAAAGTGATGTATGATGGGGTTTTTCAGTTTCTAGTCGTTTTCCTTATCCTAATTTTTTTCTTTCTGGATAGGCTGTGACCTCTTGTTATCCCCCCCCCCCCCCCCTCCCTTTCTCCTGGCTTAGACATGCACCCCGTATCCTGTTCTGTTGCTCTTTTCCTTTGCTGAGGAAAACCTCCCCTATTGCTGTTACTTGTACTTCGCTGTTGCCCTGTTGCCTCTTTTCCAGACATCTTCTTTTTGATCTCCTTATATTTGTATGAAGCGTAGATTTTAATTGAATTGTAAGGAAAGGATGATGCTATAAAAGTATCGCTTTTGTTGTCCTGGAAGAGAAGATTGTGTTCCAATAGCACACGTTCTTGAAATGTCTCACATATTACATTTTCACATGATAATAATATTAATAATGTTCAAAATAATAATAATAATAATAGTAATGATAATAATAAAAATGATAATAATGATAATAATAATAATGATAATATGGAAATAATTGTAATAATAATTGATTACCCATCACCAAGGAAGTAGATGATTGATTTCACGAATGCACATTTACTTGTTGGCGAATCGCAGCGCTCTACTAACTTTTCGCTAACAGTTTTCATGTGGTCCCGAAGGAAAGATTTCACTGACCACTCATCTACTAAAAGCCACGTCCCTGGTATTTGTTTCCTGACGGTGTTTTCGAGCTCGAGTTCATTAACCACTCCACTGTCTCTGGGCCTCCGACTCCCCCACACTCTAACTCCTCTCATCCCCCGCCCTACCCCTACTCCACACACCCCTACTCGTTATCTCCCCACACACCCCTTCTCCACTTTCCCACACACCTCAACTCCCCACACACCCGTTCTCCACCACTCCACACACCCCTGGTCCCCACCCCACCCCACCTCTTCACGTAAATGTAGGATAGCAGAAGGCACGCGGTTTCCTGGAGCTTGTGTAGAACAATTGTGATTTTCATACGCTTTTTGCCAATGCAGCCAGTCAGAATGATCCTTTTTCCCCTATTAGGTAAAGAAATGCTGGGTTAACTCAGTTCCAGTTTATCCCTTGAATTTCATGGAAATTTCCACAGTAGGTTTAGAAGCTTCAAAGTAAAGTGCAGATTGACTGCTCAGCGGAAGGCTCTGTTGCACACCTTTTTTTGAAAAGGGTGTATTGTGGACTCTTGCTCTAATCGGGTCGGGTTATCTACAAAAGTTAAAAGACTAATTATTGTTGAACCTTCTGTACTAATTTTGTTAAAATCAGGCGGTTATTATTGATGTTGTGGCTATTTTAGTAATGGCACCAGCACAGGTAGCGAGAATGGAATAGAGTCAGTGTGGAAGAATAAAGAGATCTCGTTGCCTTTACTTGATATAGTGGATTTCTGTAAAGTTGTTACTCCATAAAATGCTACCTCATAGTTGACTAGTGAAATATTGGGTAAAAGACATAAGGAAAGAATATTCCAGCAACACAATGAAATAAAATATGACTAACTGTTAATATTCTGTACAGGAATTGTGAAGCAAAATAGGGAGGTCATTTTTTTGCTTTTTGGTAAAAGTTTTTCGGGACTGACTACTACATAAGGTCATATGTGTGATCGGGATCAGTTTTGGCTCAAATAACCCAATATTGGTTAAAGTGTATCATTTCGGCTGACTGCATGACATAACCTGCTCTTAAAATCTTGTCCCAGAACCTGTTACTATTATATATGTCTTTGGATATGTTTTGTTTCTATCTATAAATGCTATGTTACTAATTTCTAAATGTTTTTGTAAGCTTTCCAAGTTAAATAGGATGAATTGAAATAAAAACTGTTTTATAGATGGATAAATTTGATGTTGCACAGGGGCAAAAGTGCTTCGCAGAAAAGATTTCATTCAGAAGTTCATTTATGACTTATAATGTGTGTAGTAACAATAATGTTTGGGCCTTGTAGTAAATGTGTGAAAAAGTACTACACTATTAGTCCTGTGGCAAGAGTGTGGATTGACTCTCTCCAACTTTGTTATCTATTTTCCTTTTGCGCAGTTTGCACAAATTTAACAGTCCATGTTTCTTATACTTTTGGAGTTGTCAATTGAAACTGTTTCTTTGAGCACTTTCCTTTTTTCGTAGTGATCAAGGGAATAACATAATTTTCTTTTTGATAATTAATAATGCTATTCAATTTTCCTTCATTGGACCTTCATATTCTTATTTGTTTATTCCAAATAATCCCAAGATTTTATTCCATCAGGCGTATGATGTGATTGTGGTCATCTGATTTAGTTCTCGTCTGTCTGAGAAATGTTTTGGATAAAAATGATGTGCTTTTCTTTTAAAATGTTTGTCTCACTTTTTTGTCTTTTCCCTTCCTCCTTCCTCTGTCCCTGTCCTCCTCCTCCCCCCCCCTCTCTCTCTCTTTCCACCCCTGCTTGAAGCCGATGTGATGCGGAGCATGGGAGCCAAGATGGTGTTTGCCGTCGACGTGGGGAGCCTGGATGAGAAAGACCTCACCAACTATGGCGACTCACTGTCTGGCTGGTGGTTGTTATGGAAACGGTGGAATCCCTGGGCGAAACCTGTGAGGGTGAGTGGTCTTGGCATTTGTTTTGCTGTCCACGAAAACTTTAATGTTTTTAAATGGACATAAAATGTGCTGAGCCAAAAAAAAATAAAAAAATAAAATTGCCAAACACCTGTCTATTAACCTGTCTGTCATCAATTTCATTATTTTGACGAGCGCCTGATTTTACCTCGATGCCTCACAAATACAAGTTGTTTTCATTACCTCTCCCAGGTGCCTGACATGGCCGAGATCCAGTCCCGCCTTGCCTACGTGTCATGCGTGCGGCAGCTGCAGATCGTCAAGAACTCGGACTACTGTGAGTACATCCGCCCGCCCATCGACCGCTACGCCACGCTACAGTTCGGCAGCTTCGACGAGATTGTGGTACGTTTTTCACGATGTTCACTCTCCCTACCCAAGTGTTTTGCTTTTACTATTTTCAGAGGTGTTGATTGTTTTGTGTTTTTTCCGGATTTCAGAAATTTGTTTGGATTTTGCTTGGCTTGAGGCTGAACATTGGGAAGTATGGAGATAATCTTCACACATGTTGCATTTATATGATTCGTAAGTTTCGAGTCTCCGTGAGCGAAGTCTTTCACAAAGCAGTCGATATATTTCCATATTATAAGGCTACCATACCATCAGGACACTGTTTGTGATCTAACTTAAACTCTATTATTGTTAACAATGATTGTTCATTTATATTATGTGTGTGACTGATTCTGTTTGTGAGTGCGAGCATGTTATTATATGTGTTTGTGTAAAGATGTATGTGGAAGAGAGGATGTATAGTATGAGATTGGTGAAACGCCAAACCAACGTACCAGCATCTTCACAATAAAGATTTATCTAATCTTATCTTCTTTTATTTCCCATGGTTTCTCCGTTTTGTGAAACAGGATACAGGCTACCATCACGGGAAGACCATGTTCGCGGCCTGGACCAAGGGCGGGCTCATGGAGAATTTGTTCAAGGAGAGCCCGGCTGGCACAACGGAGGCCAAGAAGAAGGAACGAAACCTGGCCAAGGTCAGTGCAGTCGTCGTCTGATGCACATGATTTGTTGTTGGCCGAAACATGTGGTTTAGGATTCGCGATTTGTTGTCTAATTCTTGTGATTTGGGATTTGTTGTTTGCTGCATACGATTTGGGATTTGTTGATATGTTGTCCAATACATGGGCTTTGAGTCTTTGTCAAGTGCAGGTGATTGGTGATTTGTTGTCTGATTTGTAGGCTTTGAGTGTTTGGGTTGTTGTCTTATAGACAGGCTTTTTGTGACGAGTGAGGTTATTATATAAACTTTGGTGGTAAAAATAATTTCTGTTAATGAATCCCCTTTCACAATTCATTACATACTTATGTGTTGTGGTTGTCTACTTGAACGATTGGAGCGGGCTATGATATAGTTTGCTTCTTCTTTTCTACCCGACATCTGTTGTCCTTATTTCTTTACCTTCTTTTCCTTCAATTTTATTCTTTAGTAATGCCTCTAATCTCTTTTTAGGCTAAAACTAACAAAAACAATAATTATGAAAGTGATAATGCTTTTTTTTCCTCTTTTTTTGTTGTTGTTGTTACAGAACAACGTGCCTGTGATGGCCTACTTCACAGATCTTGCGGAGCAGGTGTCTCGGATTGAAAAACCAAAGAAATCCTACTGGCCTGCAGGTACGTACTGTATTAGTGAACCATACATCTATTATGTACTTTACCTTTTTACGGTATTGTCTAGATGATGATGATGATGATGATGATGATGATGATGATGATGATGATGATTGTCTCCAGTGCAAAGGGTCCAGTAGACTTTTGAAACTCCCTGTCTAAGGTTGGGCCTATATTTCCTTCTAAGTGCCTCACAGGAAAAAGATGGAGAGGAAGACGAGATTGAAGGTAGGATAGATGATATCAGAGTGGACGGGTACGACTGGAAGGGTACGATTTGGACAGGGACAAAAGCTGTTTAAAACAGAATGAAGGTCGTTGCAGTGGAGGGATGTATGGACGGAAAATGCCTTGACAGAAGGAAAGAAATCATCTCATGCATTAGGCGGGCTTGTAGTTGATGGTTAAGGGTTTCCTGTTTGGCTGGTGGTAGAGGGTGGTTGGAGGGTGTCATTGTAGGTCCTGGGTCCTACTTCATTTCTTTCCCTCTGTTTTTTCTGTCTATCTGTCTTTGTTTCTTCCCTGCACTAAACTACCTTTATTGTGTCGATGCACTTCTTTTTATTCAAACTTTGCTGTCAGTTTTTTTTTCCATGTAGTCGTCTTTGGGCTTTGCATTCCCTTTTCATTTTTAATCTTTTGTAATCTTTGGGTTTTACCTTTTCATTTCTAGTCTTAGGGCTTCAAGTTTTCATTTCATTTCTAATCTTTGGGTTTCAAGTTTTCATTTCATTTCTAATCTTTGGGTTTCAAGTTTTCTTTTCATTTCTAATCTTTTCTCATCTTTCCTCAGACTCGGAAGAGGACGACGTAATCGAAGAAATGGATGAGGAAGACCACGCGGAAAACATGGAGGGCTACGAGGAGGACGATGAGTTTGCCAACAGCGATGGGGACGAGGACCTCACGGAGGACGACTCGGAGGACACGAACCAGAAGAAGGTGAAGATACCCCTAAGCTCTCCCCTTTCTCTCTCTAGGCTGGGTATGATTGGGAACGTGAATATCGTGGAAACGCTCACCAAGAAAAGAGACTCAGTTCTCCAGGATGTGGCTCGTCCTTACATCAAAATTTTGAACGCGTCCCGTAGCGCCATCTCCCAAAGTGACAGTCGGAGTGTGGATAAGAAACCTTCCAGCACCGACAGCAGCAGCAATGGTTCTGTTATAGATTTGGGGGAGGCTAAGAAAAGCAACGAAAGCTCCGAGGTGCGGGAAGCTGCCTCCTTTAGTAGGCCCAGCTGGCGGTCGCAGGCGAAGGATTTTATTGAACCGTCAGATCGGTACAACTTTCTATTGGATTTGAGTATTCCGGGAAAGTCCATGGTCTATTCGTCTGGAAAAACTTCAGACCCTATTAATATGGCTAGTTTGGTTATGATGGGTCAAGGTCAGTCGTATTTAACCCCGATGGTCATCGAGAAGGTAGTGATGAAAACAGATGCTGCTCACAAATCTGGCGAGTTCAGTCAAGGTGATGATGTACGAGCCTCAAAGTCGTACCCTCTGATGGAAAATGAGGAGCCGGATGAAGGCGAGGAGACGAACAGCGCTGTTGACAGTGCTGCGTCCAGCCACAGTGAAGATGTGGCAAATTTGGAAGGCCCCTCTTTTTCCGAAGAGTTCGGCGGCGAACATAGCGAGAATAACAGAAGGTCTTGTGGCAAGAAAAGGGTTCGTGTTCGGTTCAGTGACAGTGAAGGGGCGGAGTTGTATCCACGGAGCAGATGTTTTTGTGCTTCTGATGATGCTTTTGTCATGTCTGAGCTAGCTGTTCCCTCCTCAGAATCGGTGATCTAGTGGTTAGGTTGTTGGGCTTGCAATCAAAACTTTGTGGTTTGGAACCTTGTCAGGGGCTCAGTGTTGTGTCCTTGGGAAACGCATATTTTACACAAATTTTACTCACTTGACTCAGGTGTGAATGGGTATCCGGCCATAGACAGTAAAAGATCTTGTCAGTGTGTTAGTGTTTTAGCACTTTTCCAGCTGCTTACACTGTATATTTTTTTAGAAGCCAAAAATGTATTTGAGTGTTCTAATGTCTGCTGGAGCAATTATGTATATTGTAAGGAGTGTAGATATAGAGCTTGCTGTTGAGCGGGGTTATGGGTTATACAAATGCTATTTATTTATCATTTATTATCAAGGAGTTTGCTGCTGTAGAAGAAGCCGTGGTAAACAAAGAGGTTGTGGAGAGAGTTGGTTACGCTGATTTTTCTTTCAATTCAGCCGGAGGTATTGCTTGATGCTTTCCTACCTACCCGGATAACCTTGAGGATGTACTGCTGATAAGGTTACAGGTATATCAAGAGTAAAATGTTCCTGGAACAAACGTAGTGCCAGAAATAAAAAGGTGTTAGTGAGGAGAATCGGTGCTTCCAATATGTCTCGTGTTGTGAATGGGAGAAAAGAACCTTGTTCCTGGAGTAAATCCAAGTCACTCTAAAGAGAAAGAGAGCGCAGCTGAGAGCGCAGTTGTAGCTGATCTAGTCGTAAGGTGCCCTTGATCAAACAATTCTAGATTCCAATTCTGTTCAACTGTTGTCCTTTCTTGAAGAGTTTGTCACTGGGAGCTCTGCTGGGTGAATTAAAAAAGTATGTCTGAGAATACAATTTGTTCATGAGAATCGTCCCAGCTTATAGTAAGTAAACTAAACAAAAAAGGTTGTTGAAAGCATCTGTTCTTCTCATGTTGCTGTAGGAGAATGTGTGACAGATAGGACTTGCCTTACAGACAAATCAATCATCCCCTTATCCCTTGTTGGTTGATGGTTGTAAAAAGTGCTTTGATAAATTTGTTGGAGAGACATATGGCCGACTCCTGTGTCAGAACTGTTTGCAAAAAAAACGTGAAGAAAAAGAAAAAAGACAGGTGATAGATTAATTAAAAAGTTTGAATGAATCATTACCAAAGCAGCCAACCAATACGCATAAATATTATATCATATGTGCATAAATATTATTTCATATGGTTTTGAGGGTCTGAGTATGGAAGTACGTTTTCGCATCGCGAAAATACATATTGTTATCTAGTATTTTTCCTCACTAATGCTAAAGAAAAGTTATGTGCTTTAAAGACCAGATTTGCAAGCTAATGAGAACGAAACCCATACATTGATTGGAGAGAACTTTACAAGATATTTCTTCTTCTTATTGTCGCTGGTCAGCTTTGATTAGCTTGAATCTATTGAAGTCAGAAAAGTGTATGTAAAGGGTTGGGAGGGGTTTACTTGGCACATGCCCGCCATCTGAACCTGCCTCATTGATAGAGTCTTTATTTTTGGCATGAAAAGTTGGCAGTCGTCCAGTTACAGGAGCCAGTGGGGAAAAAGAGATGAGGACAGAGTTGATGAATGGGAAGAAGGCTTGGCCCCCTGTACCTCTAATCTCAGGTTCCAACACTGAGCAGGACTGGGAGAAAAAGAAAAGGAAAAACAAATTCAAGATGGATGGAAAGTATGTGGTTGAAAAATCTTAAAGTTTAAAACGTGTTCCGAAATGAAAACTGAGGTGGATAAAGGGGATGGGTCAAGGGGGAACAAGTCAACTCGACCCATGGTTTCAGACTTGACTGTAGAACGAGGTAGCAAGGAAAAGAAGAAGAGAACAGAGAGAGAGAGAGATGAAGAAGACCTTGTAGGTATACAATCACAGCAATACAAATGGCAAAAAGGATGTTTTGCCTCTTTTATTACACACTGTTCACAAGATCATCATCATCATCCTCATAAAGTGCCAGATCTGAAACGGACCGGCGATCTTTGTCTCCCGTTCATTACTCCCGTGGGATGCTCTCAAAGATCATCATTGTCATCATTAAGTGACAGATCTGCGACAGACATCAGTGATCATTATTCTTCATTCATTCCTTAGCTCGAGTGCTCCAAAAGAAGCTACTTTATCCTGATCTTTCCCCGCCACCCATCTGTTTAGGCTTTTCAAGCAAGTTGCTCTGGGTCTACCCCTGCCTCGTTTACCTTCAATTTTTCTTGTGAAAGCTAGTTGCTCAAGGACTGTATGTCTATTCAAGTGTCCCAGAAACTGCATTTGACTTTTCCTGATTGTTTCTATGAGTTAGTTGCTCATGTGGGCTTCTTCAAGTACTGCTTCATTTAATTTCTTGTCCTTCCAAGAAGTTCTCAGCAGTCTCCTAAGGAACCACTTTTCTGTTTCTTCTATTTCATTCTGCCAAAGATAGAAAGGAAGGAAAAAAACAACAACCCAATATGGACAAACTTTAGAGACAGAAGCACTTTTGGCTGATGTAATTGGAACATAATTTACTGCCTGCTGTGGTGCAGCAAAACACATTTTGACTACTTCATGTAACATTCTACGGTACATGGCTTTGACAAGTGGCCTAGGACTATGGTGTTGTGACGGCAAGCTGAAAGCAGCAGTGTGGAGACTAAAAGAGGATAGGTGGACAGCTTGGAGATAAGTTTCCCTCCTGAGGCTGAGGTGTATCTCTTGCGAACTTTTATCGCTCGAAACAACAGGCGTTTGTCTGAGAGTAGTCTCTTATTCTGGTGCATTGTTATTTCTGTCACACTGTTTTAAGAATGGAATACATTAATGAATTAAATAAAATGTAAACACTCTGATTTCTCACGACAGACAGTCACTTTCATTTGATGTGTACCATTTTTGTGTGTGCTTTTCGCATTTTTCTTGAGGTTGCAGCCTTTGGTATTTTTTTCTTCAAGGGTTCGGGGGGAAAAGCATTAAAATTTTACGAGGGTTAACTGTTTTCCCTTGTCGAAAGAAATTGTTTTGTTTTGAAAGAGAGTGGTTTTCTGAGTATTCTCCATATTTCTTGTGTTTTATTTGTACTTTGAATTTACTTATTTGCATGGTCAGATTTTTTTCTATTATGATCGTGTTTAATTCATTTTGATAAAGTTGTTATTTGTGTTTGTTTCTTTTTAGTATGTTTTCTTTCATTTCTCTGTCTTCTCTTTAGTTTTGACCAATACTTTAGTTAAGCTGGTAAGGCAATGATGCATGTGATCTGAGGTGTTGCTCTGTTCCTATCAAACATTTATTGTCCATTTATCTCTGCTCCTTCTCTTTTGTGTTTGTTACTCCCTTGTAACACTTCAAATCTTCAGCATGTTTGAAGTGTACAATCATAATACGGGTCGTCGAATTGTGCCACTGGTAGATCCTACTGCTTTTCTTTCCCGATATTGTTCCTGTCTGTTTTTCTTGCTTTTAACCTGCGCTAATTGAGTTTCGTTGATTTGCTTTTTTCTTTAACAATTTAACAAAACTTAAAATCAAATCAGAATGTCATTTTCTTGCCTTTCCTTTCTTCTTTGATACTCATTTTTGCGCATTGTGGGTGGTTGGTGGGCACTCTTGTGTGGCTTGCTCCTTCTCTCCTATCAAACATCTACTGTCTTTCTTTATCTCTCCTCCTCCTATTCTTTGTATTTTACTCTCCAATAACACTTGATCTTCGGCACTTATAAAAATGACCTATTTATGTTGCAAGTGCAGTAAAACTCTTACTAAAACTTAAAACTAAATTTCTGCGCCCTGACCACAAATAGGAAGTGTGGAGGTGAGTCGGAATTGAAAAGGTTTTCTCAGAAATTGCAAGCTCAAAGCCCCGGCTAAATCTTTTTTGTTTTGCCCAAACAAGTCGGTCTTGTACTGATAAGAGCTTCTTTTTAAAAACTCCCATCTTTCAGTTTTGAACACTCATGCTTGACTGGATTGGTCATGTATTGATGTGCAACGTTTCTCAATATATTTTTGGGTGTTTTTTGTCATGTTTTGGTTGATTAAAAAAAAAATCCCCAGTTGTGCTAATTTTTAATCAAGTTTAGTTGTTTTTGTTTTTTTGGTGTCATGTTACTTTTTTGTTCTTGCTTCTTTTTAGAAATTTGTCTCTTTCTTTTATGAAGTATATTTTTTATGGACTGAATTTTTGACAC